TAATCTATTGATTGGTCAGGAAAATGATCGCATGTTACGTTTTGTTAGCCAAACATATTATTTTATTAGTTATTATTATCATGTTGACGGATTCGGATCTAAATTTATATGGAGCTATAAAGATATTGTATGAAATATATGTCTAAAACGTCTATGATTATTAATTAATTAATTACTATTAAATGTTTATTGCTTAATAAGCATGTATTATGCTTCGACCAATTCATGCACGTGCGACGCTCTTCCAAAAGACGTCCTCGTATTGCCAATTTAAACAAGTGCGCTGTTTGTGACTTGTACGGATTAGCTCTATCATGTGAAGGGACACTTGCCAAGTGAATATCTAACATCTCTACGATCACCTTCGTTAAACTGATAGGCGGGAATACTGACTGCTGCATTCAAACATATCCCACCTGGCCCGGGGATCATTAAACAATCTTAGACTTAAGATTTTGCTTAGCTAATCACATATGATTCAGCCAATAATTCAGACAGTGTTAGACTTCAGATTCTTTCATGATCTCGGGTTCAATTCTTAGCGGCTTCTTTGTTAAATGAAAACAGGGACAGTATATATATACTCAATTATACGTCCCTGATGAAAACGAGGCATCGTGGAACAAATGTCTGTGCATGCATAAACAAAATAACAGACTCATTTTGATAATTGGATGATCTTGGTGACATTGTCGTATAGGCACTTAAATAAACATAGAAAGTATTTTCAACTGAATTTCAATGTCGTAGACAAAATATATTATAATCATATATATTATGCATATTTTGATCGAAATATAAATAGAAAATTTGAAATGTTATCATCATGAATATGGGAAGATGAGGCATATTTCATGTAGGTTAGAGCAGTGGAAAGATTTGTACATGGAAAACTGTCTGATGATCTTTGAGTACCAAGTATGACGTTTTACAAAAGATCTATACCTAAACTAGTGATAGGAACGTGTTATGATTATTTTGATTGAAGATATGTCCGAGCTTGCCACAGTAAAAAATTCAAAAATAATAAAACATTGTCATTTAAATCTGAGAAAATATAGCTGATGACGTTTGGAATGACTCTTTCAGTAAGTTATTTCATCACAAAAAGTAAAGGATTTTTAAAAAAAACTTTAAACGAAACAACTTTATTGAAATGTGGTGCACGGTAGGTTATCTTGACAAATCAGGATTTAGGATGCCTACAATGTTATCAAGTTAATATATCACCTTATCGTGGTAACGCGGCTTTGTGGCTGATGTCGTCTGGATCTATTTACCATGGATTATATATATTGAGTAATGTTTCTGTTTCAGGAAAAAGTCAGTGCTTGGCTAGTCAGAGCCAATAGATCACAAACTCTGTTATAATAAATTCATTCGATGCAAACAGAGACGTATATACTACTGGCTTTATATATAATAATATATATAATAATATATATAATAATATATATAATAATAAAATATTTTATTTAAGTGTCACACATATTTTACATAACACATCACTTACATAATAAAAATACACATATGCAAAATATGCCCAGCCATACTGACTTACGAGACACTACTAAAAATTTATATATATTAAAACATAGAATCTATTTAAAATTTATATGTATCTGGTGCAAATGACGGACAACCAATTGCAAACAGTCGCAAGCAAATCATTGTAAGTGCTTTTGACATGTTTTAAATGTCTTTTTATCGGAGTTTCTGTTTTATTAATTTTGTTTTAAGAAATGAGTCTCAATTGTTGTTGCTTATTAAGGATTAACTTGAATATATTTTTCATGTTATTGAGCTATAACACAAAAAAACGGAGTGTACTCTAAATAAACCGCGAAGCGGTTTATGATGAGAGTACACTCCGTTTTCTTGTGTTATAGCTCCATAACAAGAAAAATATATTCAAATTATTCCTTATAATTTAATTAACTATACACAATCCCTGTGGAAATACACTTTTATTGATGGACTCTTTTCTCTTAGAAATTATTGCGCTGCTGTATCAGCCAATCAAAAGCGACGTTACAAACGGCGACGTCATTTTTTACGTTATGGGCTGATAACATAAATGTTTAAGCCAATGAAAATGCTTGTGACAAGCAAGATTAAATTATTAGTGAATAATGCTGCAATAAATATTAAAATCGTTTGAAGAACGGCTCCTTAATCTTACTTGCAGGGATTTGAAGTAGTTGACATAGCGGTGTGGTACACATGATCAGGTGTTATCTTAGACGTGTTTATCTTATGGTCAGGACAGGTAA